ATATATATATATATATATATATATATATATATATATATATATATATATATATTATTAAATATGACCGAAAAAGTAAGATTAATAATTCTAACACGAATTTTCTCATTCTTTCGTACATTTCGCTTCACTGTTGGAGGTAAATCAAAAATCAATTCTCCAAAATTCATTTTTATTTCTAGTCTGACGCGACACGAGCGCGTTTCGTAAAACTTATTACATTTTCAAAGACTTTAGTTCACAAATACACAACTGAATAGAACTTACGCATCTCCGATTTTATATCTACATTTGAGTGAGGTGGAAGGGGTGATGTGGCATTAACACAAGACAGAACAAAATGTGGTATTAATAGGGTATTAATTTCATCAACACAAGACAGAACAAGAGTATTAATAGGGTATTAATTTCATCAACACAAGACAGAACACGAAACAATGGATATTGAATAGAAGTGTTTGTAGAAAGCCTATTGGTCCATATTTCTTGATGCTTCTATATTGGAGCGGAGTCTTGAGGTGGGTAGAATATAGTTGTGCAATAATTGGCTGTTGATTGCTGGTGTTGACTTCTTGATGTGTAGTGCCTCGCAAACGTCAAGCCGCCTGCTATCGCTGTATCTATCGATGATTTCTGTGTTGTTTACTAGGATTTCTCTGGCGATGGTTTGGTTGTGGGAAGAGATTATATGTTCCTTAATGGAGCCCTGTTGCTTATGCATCGTTAAACGCCTAGAAAGAGATGTTGTTGTCTTGCCTATATACTGGGTTTTTTGGAGCTTTCAGTCCCCAAGAGGGCATTTGAAGGCATAGACGACGTTAGTCTCTTTTAAAGCGTTCTGTTTTGTGTCTGGAGAGTTTCTCATGAGTAGGCTGGCCGTTTTTCTGGTTTTATAGTAAATCGTCAGTTGTATCCTCTGATTTTTGTCTGTAGGGATAACGTTTCTATTAACAATATCTTTCAGGACCCTTTCCTCTGTTTTATGAGCTGTGGAAAAGAAGTTCCTGTAAAATAGTCTAATAGGGGGTATAGGTGTTGTGTTAGTTGTCTCTTCAGAGGTTGCATGGCTTTTCACTTTCCTTCTTATGATGTCTTCGACGAAACCATTGGAGAAGCCGTTATTGACTAGGACCTGCCTTACCCTACATGTAAGGTACCTTACCCTTACCCTTACTTGAAAATGTAATAAGTTTTACGAAACGCGCTCGTGTCGCGTCAGACTAGAAATAAAAATGAATTTTGGAGAATTGATTTTTGATTTACCTCCAACAGTGAAGCGAAATGTACGAAAGATTGAGAAAATTCGTGTTAGAATTATTAATCTTACTTTTTCGGTCATATTTAATAATATATGTCTACAGGAAAGACTGCTACCAAAATATACTAATATATATATATATATATATATATATATATATATATATATATATATATATATATATATATATATATATATATATATTGGTAGCAGTCTTTCTTGTAAACATATGTTGTTGAATATGACCGAAAAGGTAAGATTAATAATTCTAACACGAATCTTCTCAGTATTTCTTATGTTTTTCTTCACTGTCGGTGGTAATAAAAATAACAATACTCCGAAATTAATTTTTTAATTGTCTGACGCCTGAACGCGTTTCGTAATTCGTATTACATTTTCAAAGACTTAATTTACTCACAAATTCTTCGTACTTATACTCTAATAGAATATAAGTACGAAGAATTTGTGTGTAAATAAAGTCTTTGAAAATGTAATACGAATTACGAAACGCGTTCACGCGTCAGACAATTAAAAAATGAATTTTGAAATTTCAAAAATTAAAAAATGAAATATATATGTACATCAAAATAGTGGCAGTGAAAAGTTGTGTTTAAATCAACGAGAAGTCGATATTTTGGGTCTATAAAATATTGTCATTGACATTATGCAAACGGACAAATCAAAATCTAAAATATTTGACCTCAATGTTGTGAAAAAGTTACTGGATGGAAGGGATGAGCTTTATAAACATACGGGCAAACTGTCACAGCTGTAAGAGGTAGTTAATCATCCTTCACCTGGCGTACAGCCATCATCGTTCATCCTAGCCTAATAACCTGAGCTTCACTCATCAAACTGTTACTTCAGAACCATCCTGGGTTTAAAAGAATTACTAAAATATAAATTGCCACACATACGCAATTTTTGCAGGCGATGAGTCACAATAACGAGGCTGAAGTATGTTGACCAGACCACACACTAGAAGTTGAAGGGACGACGACGACGTTTCGGTCCGTCCTGGACCATTCTCAAGTGGATTGAACTCCAGCAACCTTGTATAAAATACGCAATCGACTTGAGAATGGTCCAGGATGGACCGAAACGTCGTCGTCCCTTCAACTTCTAGTGTGTGGTCTGGTCAACATTACGCAATTTATATATATGTATTTCATTCCCAAAGCTTCATCCAAGCACGCAAGCGCGCACGCAGACGCACTAGCAATAGGAATATAGGCCTAACTCCAGAGTTTCAATGAACAAATCATTGAAACTGTGATTTCTATGTGTCCAGAGTTTCAAATTTGAGCCAAATCTGCGTTCAGGTTTTGAGCCTCTTTACGGTCTTTGTTATGTTAATACAGATTTTGCGTTCTCAGTCAGCACTCCTTAGGGTCACTCTAAAGTCTGGCAAGGTTGGACGTTAGTTCTCGGGCCCGCCTCTTGACCTTAACCGTTGTAATCTCATTACTAATGGTTCAATATTAGCGAAATTTTAATCAAACGTATTTTAGATGGTGTATAAGGGAATGATATAGATCTTGGGCCCCGCCTCTAGCTCCTGGACCCGGTTTCGCTGCTATACATACAATTTATATGACATTTAAAACAGTCCAGATCCAGACAATTTCTTTATGCGGGATATTGAAACCCCTGTAAATATAACTGATATAAACCCGAGCGCACTAAATTTTGAAAAAGAAATTGAAAACATGCCCATGCACTCGGCCCCAGGTCCAGACTCATGGAATTCAATATTTATAAAGAAATGCAAAGTGCCGGTAGCACAGGCACTCAGTATAGTGTGGAGGAAGAGCTTGGACACGGGAAAGATACCAGATGCACTTAAAGTAGCAGACATAGCTCCTCTACACAAGGGAGGGAGCAAAGCATTGGCAAAAAATTATAGACCAGTTGCACTAACATCGCACATCATAAAAGTATTTGAGAGAGTGATTAGGAGTCAGGTCACCAATTTCATGGAGACCAATGACCTTCATAACCCAGGCCAACATGGATTTCGAGCGGGAAGATCGTGCCTCTCACAGCTACTTGAGCACTAGGACAAAGTCACTGAAGCAATAGAAGAAAAACAGAATGCTGATGTGATATACACGGACTTCGCAAAGGCTTTCGATAAATGTGACCATGACGTGATAGCACACAAAATGAAGTCAATGGGAATAACCGGTAAAGTAGGACGCTGGATACTCAGTTTTCTGTCAAACAGGACTCGGCGAGTAACGGTCAACTATATAAAATCTAGTCCAAGTGCAGTGAAAAGCTCTGTACCTCAGGGTACAGTCCTTGCACCGCTGCTTTTCCTTATTCTCATATCAGATATAGACAAAAATTCAAGTCACAGCTTTGTATCATCCTTTGCAGATGACACAAAAATCAGTATGAAAATTACCTCGGCTGAGGACATCGAAAAATTTCAAGCTGATATTAATAAAGTTTTCGACTGGGCATCAGAAAATAACATGATGTTTAACAGTGATAAATTCCAGGTACTCAGGTACGGTAAAAATGAGGACCTTAAACATAATACAGAGTACAAAACACAATCAAATGTACCCATAGTAGGAAAACAGCATGTAAAGGATTTGGGAATAATAATGTCTGACGACCTAACGTTTAAGGAGCATAACCAAGCAAATATTGCGACAGCCAGAAAAATGATAGGATGGTTTACGAGAACTTTCAAATCCAGGGATCCCATCACAATTGTTGTACTCTTCAAGTCACTTGTGTTGTCCCGTCTTGAGTACTGCTCAATTCTCACTTCCCCCTTCAGAGCAGGAGAGATTGCTGAAATAGAGGGAATACAGAGAACATATACGGCATGCATAGACGCAATAAAGCACCTAAATTATTGGGATCGTCTCAAAGCCCTCCAAATGTACGCACTAGAAAGAAGACGAGAGAGATATCAAATAATATACACCTGGAAGATACTGGAGGGCCAAGTACCAAATCTACACAGTAAAATAACAACGTACTGGAGCGAACGATATGGAAGAAAATGTAGAGTAGAACCATTGAAGAGCAGAGGTGCCATAGGCACAATCAGAGAACACTGTATAAACATCAGAGGTCCGTGGTTGTTCAACGTCCTCCCAGCAAGCATAAGAAATATTGCCGGAACAACCGTGGACATTTTCAAGAGGAAACTAGATTTATTCCTCCAAGGAGTGCCGGACCAACCGGGCAGTGGTGGGTATGTGGGCCTGCGGGCCGCTCCAAGCAACAGCCTGGTGGACCAAACTCTCACAAGTCAAGCCTGGCCTCGGGCCGGGCAGTGGTGGGTATGTGGGCCTGCGGGCCGCTCCAAGCAACAGCCTGGTGGACCAAACTCTCACAAGTCAAGCCTGGCCTCGGGCCGGGCTTGGGGAGTAGAAGAACTCCCAGAACCCCATCAACCAGGTATCAACCAGTCGTATTTTAGATGGAGTATAAGGAAAGGGTTTAGGTCTTGGGCTCCGGTTTTAACACCAGGACTCAGGTCATCTCCATAATTTCGTAGGTATTATGAAGATGAACTTCATAATATAGATTTTCTCATTGACTCGTCTTGTTAGTGTGATTACTCTGTGTATTGAGAGAGAAGCGTCAGAGTTAGAATATTCCTGGATGGCAGAGCCAGAGTGCACTCAGGGATTGTGTGAAAATCCTGGTCCGGCTTCAGTAGAAGCCTCAGGAAACCCTTGTGTGTTTAGTAGAACTCCAGGTTGCAATCCTCTTGACCATGTCGCGACCTGATTGTCTGGGTCGTGTGCGTGGGACTACCCACCGCATAGGTTCGAATCCTCATCACGGCTCCTAAGGACTTTCCCATTGATGGATCACGTTAGTGGGATTACTCTCTGTGTATTATACTTCGTGCTACTGAAGAATAGTTTAGATTACGTCTTCGTATCATTTTTAAACGTGTATTACCAGGTCAACTCTCTGTTTCTATAATATCTTTCAGCTAACAAATTAAGACAGACTTTACTAAGTCATTTCATTCTTTAACGTAACAGTCATTACATATTTTTATGGTTTCAACTTTCCCGTCTATCATCTCCATACAATTTTATTATCTATCGTCTATCATCTCCATACAATGTTTCTTAGATCAGCTAAGGAACATTCTGTAACCTTTCATAATGTAGCTTATTTTTGTAACGTAACTAATACTGTTTTTGCGTCGTATCGTGTTTGTTCCTTAACAAAATTACGTCAATGCATTTCTATTTCAACTTAACTTTCTTACTATGACTGTTATTAACTAGTAATACTCTTAATGAAGTAAAATATTTACTAAGACATTCTTTTCTTAACATTTCTTAACTAACAATACACTGACAAAATAGTCGAGGGAATTTTTTTCATAACATTTCGAATGTAAAATTGCTCTTCATTCAACCGAAAAATAGTCAAGGGTGTATTCGTAACATTCTAAACTTAAGTAACATTTCTTTCAATCAAAAAATTGTCAAAGATAACTTTCTTAATAATATTTCTAAACTAAAGTTGCTTTCTGAGACATCTTTATGCATCAAGCAGTCTCCGTGGTGTAGTGGTAAGACACTCGCCTGGCGTTCCGCGAGCGCTATGTCATGGGTTCGTATCCTGGCCGGGGAGGATTTACTGGGCGCCATTCCTTAACTGTAGCCTCTGTTTAACGCAACAGTAAAATGTGTACTTGGATGAAAAAACGATTCTTCGCGGCAGGGGATCGTATCCCAGGGACCATAGGATTAAGGACTTGCCCGAAACGCTACGCGTACTAGTGGCTGTACAAGAATGTAACAACTCTTGTATATATCTCAAATCAAAGAACACTCTCCAAGCCATCAAGGATTATTCTCTAAGACATCTTCAGACCTCAAAGGACATCTTCGTGCATTAAAAGAAACTCTTTTGAGATATCTTTATATAACAAGGTTACTTTCCAGGACATTTTCAGGCATTTATGGATACTTTCCTGGATGCTAAGACGTTACTTCCAACATCTTAACACAATCTTTTCATAACACATCTTAACTAAGAATGCATTTTCTTTAATAGTCAAGGGAACCTTTTCAAGTCATATGTGACATTTACTGTTTAAGTTGTAAAGAAAATTATCAAGGGTAACTTTGTGTAACATATTTAAACTAACATTTATATATCAACAAAGACACTGTTCTAATAAACTTAATAAGATATGTCTTTATGTAGTAACAAACAACTTAAAGTATTATATCAAACTAAACATGTACAACTTTTCGTAACATCTCTTAACGTTTCATGTCTTTATGTTTTAACAAACGTATGCTTCATAAAAAAATACATAAAATAGCTAACTTTATGTAGCACCAGTTTCACTAAGACAGTTTCACTATCTCCAAAGGATACCTGATCAACCAGGCTGTGACTCATACGTCAGGCTGCGAGCAGCCGCGTCCAACAGCCTGGTTGATCAGTCCGGCAACCAGGAGTCCTGGTCGACGACCGGGCCGCGGGGACGCTAAGCCCCGGAAGCACCTCAAGGTAACCTCAAGGTAAGGTAAGACATTTACAGTCAAAACTTGGAAATAATAACATAAAAATGAAGGTAACTGCAGAACGTCTATTGGCCCATACGAGGCAGCTCGTATGGGCCAAGTTATAACCACCCACTCCCACTCATATACATGTCAAACCTACGTTTGAAACAATCGAGGGACCCCACCTCCACTAAGTTACGCGGTAATTGGTTCCACAAATCAACAGCCCTATTACCGAACCAGTATTTATCCAAGTCTTTCCTAAATCTAAACTTATCCAATTTATGTTTATTGTTTGTGTTCTGTCTTGTGTTGAGACTTTTAATGCCCTATTAATATCCACTATGTTATGTCCATTCATCCACTTGTAAACCTCTATCATGTCACCCCTAACTCTTCGCCTTTCCAGTGAATGCAACTTAAGCTTTGTTAATATTTCTTCAAATGAAAGATTTCTAATTTGGGGAATTAACTTAGTCATCCTACGCTGGACACGTTCAAGTGAATTTATATCCATTCTATAATATGGCGACCAAAACTGAACTGCATAATCTAAAAGGGGCCTAACCAGAGCAAGATATAGCTTGAGAACCACACCAGGTGTCTTGTTACTAACGCTTCACAGGCTCACCATACCCCGTGCTACTTGGAACTTTTTGTTCCAGGCAGCGAATCTTAAAAAAAACAACAATACTAACGCTTCAATTAATAAATCCAAGTGTCCGATTTGCCTTAGTACGAACATTCATGCATTGATCTTTTGGCTTTAAATTCTTACTTATCATAACTCCCAGATCCCTTTTGCAATCCGACTTTGCAATCTCAACACCATCTAGCTCGTATCTTGTAACTCTATTATCATTACCTAGCCTCAGAACTTTACATTTGTCAGCATTAAACTGCATCTGCCAATTTTTTTACCATTTCAAAACCCTATTTAGATCGTCTTGAAGTGATAGTGAGTCTTTTTCCGTGTTTATTTCCCTCCTGATTTTCGAATCATCGGCAAATTTGCAAATATTGCTGCTTAAACCTGAATCTAAATCATTTATATATATTATGAATAACAGAGGTCCATAGGACAGAGCCTTGAGGCACTCCACTTACAACATTTTCCCAGTCTGATTTAACCCTATTTCTACTAATTCTATGTTTCCTTTGGTATAGCCATGCCCTAATCCAACTTAATATAGCACCCCCAATACCATGAGCTTCTATCTTTTTAATTAGTCTTTCATGTGGCACTGTATCAAAAGCTTTGCTAAAGTCAAGGTACACAACATCACAATCCTTACCGCTATCAACTGCCTCAACTATGCTGGAATAAAATGATTGCAAATTTGTTAAACATGAACGGCCATTTGTAAAACCATGTTGAGAATCATTTATTACTTTATGTTTTTCAAGATGAAGACGAATGGTATTTGCAATTATCGATTCAAGTAACTTTCCCACAATAGACGTAAGGCTAAATGGCCAATTGTTTAAAGCAAGTGATCTATCTCCCTTTTTAAAAATTGGTACCACATTAGCAACCTTCCACGACTCTGGCACTCTGGCTGACTCTAATGATTTATTAAATATGTTATACAATGAATTGCAAAGCTTTGCATTTTTTAAGCACCCTGGCAAACACTTCATCCGGCCCTGGAGATTTGTTTGGTTTGAGTTTCATTATTTGTTTAATTACATCCTCCCTGGTAACTGTTAAACTAATCAACCTGTCCTCGTCCCCCACCCACACAGACTTGTTAGACTTGTTACATTTACTATAGACAGTTCCCGTGGTGTAATGGTAAGACGCTCCCCAGGCATTTCACGAGGGGTTGGCCTGGGTTCGTATCGTGGATGGGGAGGATTTACTGGGTGCAAATCCTTAACTGTAGTCTCTGTTTAACCCAACAGTAAAATGGGCACCTAGTTATTAAACGATTTGACGGGTTGTATTCTGGGGAACATAGGATTAAAGACCTGCCCGAAATGCTACGCGTGCTTGTGGCTGTACAAGAATGTATGAACTCTTGAAAATATAAATAAATAACCCAAATTATAAACACGAATTTGCACATACAAACGTGCTCAAGCACTTGCACACTCTCACAAACGTGCTCAAGCACTTGCACACTCTCACAAACGTGCTCAAGCCCTTGCACACTCTCACAAACGTGCTCAAGCACTTGCACACTCTCACAAACGTGCTCAAGCACTTGCACACTCTCACAAACGTGCTCAAGCACTTGCACACTCTCACAAACGTGCTCAAGCACTTGCACACTCTCACAAACGTGCTCAAGCCCTTGCACACACTCACAAACGTGCTCAAGCCCTTGCACACTCTCACAAACGTGCTCAAGCACTTGCACACTCTCACAAACGTGCTCAAGCACTTGCACACTCTCACAAACGTGCTCAAGCCCTTGCACACTCTCACAAACGTGCTCAAGCCCTTGCACACTCTCACAAACGTGCTCAAGCACTTGCACACTCTCAAACGTGCTCAACTTGCACACTCTCACAAACGTGCTCAAGCACTTGCACACTCTCACAAACGTGCTCAAGCCCTTGCACACTCTCACAAACGTGCTCAAGCACTTGCACACTCTCACAACGTGCTCAAGCCTTGCACACTCTCACAAACGTGCTCAAGCACTTGCACACTCTCACAAACGTGCTCAAGCCCTTGCACACTCTCACAAACGTGCTCAAGCACTTGCACACTCTCACAAACGTGCTCAAGCCCTTGCACACTCTCACAAACGTGCTCAAGCACTTGCACACTCTCACAAACGTGCTCAAGCCCTTGCACACTCTCACAAACGTGCTCAAGCACTTGCACACTCTCACAAACGTGCTCAAGCCCTTGCACACTCTCACAAACGTGCTCAAGCCCTTGCACACTCTCACAAACGTGCTCAAGCACACAAACGTGCTCAAGCACTTGCACACTCTCACAAACGTGCTCAAGCACTTGCACACTCTCACAAACGTGCTCAAGCACTTGCACACTCTCACAAACGTGCTCAAGCACTTGCACACTCTCACAAACTTACGCAAACTTTTCCCTTCAAACACTGACTTGCACCAACATGTAGTACATTTAAATGCAACACAAACTTAAACAACTCACACAAATACTTATTTCATAATTTTTACTTGCACATACACATTTTCTCGAACTTTCACAATCTCTCATGAACATACAAATTCTCTCAAACTTACACAGATCACTTAAACTTACTCAAAATACTTGGTCTCTCTTAGACAAAACTAGCACAACTCTCACCAACTTTGAGTCACTTTAAGAAACATTTACACTAATGCTCATTTCAATAATTTAAATGAGGAAATTTACAAATACACACTTTCATGCCACACTCATTACATTCACATACTAACACAAAACTTACACTCGGATCCAACTCAACCATCTTAACCTAACCTAACCTAACCTAACCTAACTTACACTCGGATCCAACTCAACCATCTTAACCTAACCTAACCTAACCTAACCTAACCTAACCTAACCTAACCTAACCTAACCTAACTTACACTCGGATCCAACTCAACCATCTTAACCTAACCTAACCTAACCTAACCTAACCTAACCTAACCTAACCTAACCTAACCTGACCTAACCTGACCTAACCTAACCTAACCTAACCTAACCTAACCTAACCTAACCTAACCTGACCTAACCTAACCTAACCTAACCTAACCTAACCTAACCTAACCTAACCTTAACCTAACTTTAATCCCATATATTTTTACTTCTTAACTGTTCATCCAACATTTTATGCACATCTTAACCTAACACATCTTTACTTAACCTTTGCTTAATTTATATATCCTTATACTTTCACGTAATTTATAAGTCTATTGACTATTTTTCGGTTGAATGAAGAGTGATTTTAGATTAGAAATATTGCGGAAAATGATTCCCTTGATTATTTTTTCAGTAGCACGACGTGTAATGTAAGTTAAGTTAAGAAAGGTTAAGAAAATACTGTCTTAGTAAACTTGTTACTGCATGAAGAGCATTGCTAGTTAAGAACAGTGATAGTAAGAAAGTTAAGTTGAAAGATAAATCTATTAACATATTTTTCTTAAAGAGCAAACACGATACGACGCAGAAACAGTATTAGTTATGTTACAAAAATAAGTTACATTATGAAAAGTTAAAGAATGAATTGCCTTAGCTGGTCTATCTTGAGGTTATCTTGAGATGATTTCGGGGCTTTAGTGTCCCCGCGGCCCGGTCCTCGACCAGGCCTCCACCCCCAGGAAGCAGCCCGTGACAGCTGACTAACTCCCAGGTACCTATTTACTGCTAGGTAACAGGGGCATTCAGGGTGAAAGAAACTTTGCCCATTTGTTTCTGCCTCGTGCGGGAATCGAACCCGCGCCACAGAATTACGAGTCCTGCGCGCTATCCACCAGGCTACGAGGCCCCGTCTAGCTAAATTGTGTGGAGATGATCCATGGGAGAGTTGAAAAGATAACAATATGTAATGACTGTTACGTTACAGAATGAAATGACTTAGTTAAGTCTCTCTTAACTTGTTAACTAACAGATATTATAGAAACAGAGACTCTTTGGGAATACTAATTTAAAAACGATACAAAGAAGTTACCTTAACTATTATAAAAGTAACCATTTTATTTTTATACTTTATACTATTAACAATTTATACTTAACTATTTTATACATTGTAGCATGAAGTATAATGTTAGTAAAGAAAAGTTAAGAACGATTCCTCTGACTATTTTCACATTGAACGAAGATGCCTTCAACTATTTTTTCGATTGAAAGAAGAGTTGAGTTTTAATGTGTTTCAAAGACATCACTATTTTTCGGTTGAGTGAAGAGTGATTTTAGTTAAGAAATGTTATGAAAAAGATTTCCTTTACTATTTTTCAGTAGTACGAAGTGTAATGTTAGTTATGAAAAGATGTGAAGACAATATTATTTACTTTTTTTTCAGTTGAATGAAGAGTGATTGTAGTTAAGAAACGTTAAACAAAGATCGTTATAGAAAATTTTGTTACTGCATATTATATCATGAACCAAAGAAAAGCTCGTGGAATAGAACTTTTCCCTTGCATAAATAGAGCTACAATAGAACTCCGGAAATGTGGAATAGAACTTGCATAAATCAGTGAACTTCCTGGTCTCAAATATGTAAGTTCAAAATGTCTAGGTTAGAGTGACAGTCTCAGTAAAATCCTCCAGTTTACTGGAGCGAACTTATCTGCATGACACAAGGTTATCTACACCACAGTCACCTCAGCTAGATATCACTAAGCAAAGATAACTCAATAACACACAGAAATCACAATAGTGTGAAGCATCAAATGAACAAATTGTCATAGTTCAGCCGATTAAGGCAGCGTCTGGGATGCTCTCGGGCGTAGGTTCGAATCCTCGTCATGGCCCTTGTGGATATGTTCATAACTCAATAACATGGGTACACTAGACAGCTTAAGACTGGCTGGTAGGTTGTGTCATGGTGGATGGTGACGTTACATAACCAGAGTGGGGGGGGGGGGGGGTAATATCTCAGTATCACTATTAATAACACAAGTCACTAAACTATCACGTTGCCTTCAGAAAAACTAAGTCCCAACTAGACTGGCAAATGGCAAAGTCGAAATACTCTTCACACAAGTCAAAGTCCACAATGATTGACAAAAGGTAAAGTCAATTACTCATCTTTAAAAGTTACAGGTTACACAGACTGAAAAATCTGGCAGAATCAGGAATCTTCTTTCAAAAGTTAAGGTTAAAAACCATGAAATTTGACAAAGTCCTCAAACGGCTCTACTAGTAATATAAGTCACTTCACAACAGGAGTTACAATTTGAGAATTTAGTCTTCAATTTAGTTCCACGAGACGAAGTCCCATGGAACAGATCGTAACAGAACATTACAGAGATTGATGTAGAACGGGTAAAGTGAGAATAACATTATAAATAAGAAAGAGCGGGAGAAAACAAATTCAAATTCTCGCAGGCCAAGCTGAGATGGGAGGGGTGTGAAAGGGAAGGTTTGGGTGCATTGGCGTGCATAAGGTGGAGGCAGGTGGATGAGGAAGATAGTGTGAGCGGGAGGAGTAGGGAGGGAGCGAGGAGAAGATGTGGGTGTGTATGAGGAGCTGGGGGGGAAGGGGTGAGAGGGGAGAGTGGGAGACACGGGCAGCATGCCCAAGGGGGAGCTAGTGGAGTGGGAGTTGGACAACTGGCGGCGCACTCACGTAGGGTGGAAGCAAGTAGAGGAGGGAGGTAGTCAACTTGTCCTCTTAAAAAGAACGTCGCGTTTGCCTGTATTGCTGAATTTGGACGTAATTAGAAAATAAGAAAAAAATGAAAATAAATTTGGGATTTTTTTTTCAACAGCAGTAAGTTAAGGGTCCTCTGATAGGTTAGGTGGGCAGGAAATTCTCATAAAGTTTCAAAACGTTATGAAAAACGTTAATTTAAAGTGTCCTCTTATAACCTCTGCGCGTAGGCCGGACGACTCAAATAGAAAACAGAACAGAACGTCACTTTTGTGAGTCGATTTAATTTCAAATTACGTCCAAATTTGGCCATAGCGCCGCGCATACGAGCCAAAAGTGACGTTATTTTTAAGAGGACGGGTTGGGTAGTCAGTTTTCCTTTTTTATATTTTTTCCTCATTTGTTTATCGTGCGATTTGCATGAAACTTATACACCTGACTGCACGTAATCCTCTCTGTAAGGGTGACAATTTTGGAGGAAATTGGTTGATGTCAACCTCAGCCACAGATGGCAGCACCTTAGACTTCATTTCTTCATTACTTTCTTTCAAGTAACATAAACATAACTACTCCAGTTTCATTTTTTATTCAATTTACATGAAACTTACACCTTATATGTAGAGTTTATTTACCTACACTTTGTAAGAAGCGTTTTTTTCCTAAATTTATTTATTGATTTTATAAATAGTAATAAACATGATATATTTGCAAAATTTTGAGGGGGAACTTTCACTATTTGTATTAGTCAAACTAAACATATTTTGGAAAATTCAGTAATACAAATCCTTTGTTATATGCTTTTGTGAGAGAAGAGTGTCATAAAAATGATTTCGTTTGAAACTTGTGGTTGTGGTAAACTGTTGAAAATGTGTAAAATTTGTTGAAAAAATATCTCCCTTTCTATTTAGGCTGTGATACTGAAACTTAGAACAGTTTTTATATACAACTAGGCAAAAATGTTTGGTTGACATTGAACAACTTTTAATATTCTCAGATATGCCCCTTTAAGAATGATTTCCATATAAAGTGGTGAATTTAATGGCGACATATGGCAATGATATCCACGTTTTCTTCAGAGGAAATTTCCACTGAGCTTTACTTTCTATGAGTTATTGAAAGTTTGTTAATGGTGTCGGTTTTTTCGACAGTTTTAGCATGTACAAGGATCTCATCTGCATAGCTGATAGCGATGTTTGCCAGTTTGCCAGACTAGTTGGGATGGATTTTAGTAAGGCATTAATTAGAACATTAAACAAGGTAGGACTTAGCACTTCTCCTTGTGGGGGGCCTAGTTGCATTAATTTAGGTCTCTCCATGATTCCTGAAGGATTTCCTCTCCCAGCTGGTACCTTGTACTTGGCCTCACGCTCCCTACGCCTATCTTCAGCACTTTGCACTTGCTCGAGTTAAACTCTAGTAGCTATTTGTTGGACCATTCCTTCAGTCTGCCCAGGTCATCCTGTAGCCTCAAGCTGTCCTTCTCTGTCTTAATCCTTCTCATAATTTAAGCATCATCAGCAAACATTGAGAAGAACGAGTCTATACCTTCTGGAAGATCATTCACGTATATCAGAAACATGATAGGTCCAAGTACAGAGCCCTGTGGGACTCCGCTGGTGACATCACGCCAATCTGAGGTCTCACCCCTCACCGTAACTCTCTGCTTCCTGTTGTTTAGGTACTCCCTTAGTCACTGGAGCACCCTACCGCTTACTTCACCTTGTTTCTCCAACATATGCAACAGCATGTTATGGGGGAAACTGTGACAAAAGCTTTCTGACAGTTCAAGAAAATGCAGTC